GAAAACTGGAGATAAAGCACAAAAAGGACGTAAGCAGCGGTGCCAGACTTCACTGATTCTCTAAAAGTGATAGTTGATACTTCTAATTCATTTTTTAGTAAAAGTATTTTCAGGAAAATCATAGGGATTTGGAAGGACGAAATGAAATCCTTGAAAGCAGAGTCTAAACTAAACTAAAGTGGAGGGAAATCAGATCAGGAGGAAACACGTCCAGAAGCGAGACAGTCTCATATCCAGTCATCCACACGCCTTCGGGGTAGGAGCACTTTGGTGGAACTCGGTCTGTTCTACTTATTTTATGATCACTACAGGAATCAAACAGCTCTTTGGGGAATTTACAATTATTAAAAAGCACAGACTAAAAATATGTAATCATTATTATGCTCATAAATAAAACATCAAATGTAAACTAATTCGACTTGATTTAGAATAAAATGAATATACACTTGCAGGTGGTTTCCAGGAGTCAACACTATGGTATCTGAAAGGTCCGGGTCACGGCAGGACAGAGGCAGGGCGGAGGCCATTTGGCACCTGCCCCTTTTCACTCACTATCCTGGCTATTCAGAAGCTGGGCATACCCGGGAAGCCATCAATAAGCATTTTGAGCCACTGCCCCTTAGAATAATCTCAATATTGTAAAATAGTGTGTATTCCTCTTCACAGTAATTGTGTTAACATCTTGTTACTCATTAAATGTGTGAAGTTAGATAAACAGTGCTTTGTTTTACACTACAATATGAGTGTTATCGAGGTCAGTGTAAAAATCAATGGGGAAATGTAGCTGAACTATACTGAATTTTCTATCACTCTGTAGGGATTCTCATTATACTTTAATTTTAATACAAGGCATTTCAAAGTTGGGAGAAAAATCCTAATTTGTAAAACCTCCTGAGAGAAAGTTGTTTCTGCAACTAAACAGTGTCAAAATGATGAGGACTAAAGAAGTTTCAAAGTTATTACTGAAAATGCCTTCCACAGGGCAGGTAATACCCAGCGGCCACCACAGCACAACGCCGTCTGGTTCTGTTCTGGTTCCAGTGTGCTGCTCCCTCTGCCCTCACTCACCCCAGCCTTCCGTGCACACGGGTACTGAGCATCCAGGTCAGGACAGCCCTTCCCAAGCTGTCCCCTCTTATTAGAAAATACTTGTGTGCATAGTCCTTCCAGATTTGCTAATATCTGCATTTTGCAGCCATCTGTGTAAAATGGCAAGTAGTTTAGAGCTGCACAAGGAAGGCAGGGGCTAAGGGTCACTCTGTGTCCACACGTGCCAGCTCCTTTATCTCAGTTTCCTCACTCTGTCCTCTAGCAATGAGAACCGCGTTGGCCCTGGATCTCCCTCCACAGTCTACACAGATTACCGCTTCCCTGTCTCGTTCAACCTCCAGGTCAACCCTCTACAGTAGAAACTGTTACACAGTTGGTAAACTGCGGCTTAGAGAGGTTCAGTAACTTGCCCCAGATCACTCAGCCAGTAAACGTTACAGTGGGGTCAGAATGTGGGTCAGACTCCTAACCAAGGTGGCATGCGCCTTGGAAGGCTTTTGGTAATCCAGTTGCATCAAGAAGTAGGATATTTCTGCTTCTAACTGCAATGTGCTTATGTATAGTATGTGTACTCTAATATTACTAAGCCATATTTTGAAGTATGAAACATTAAAATAGAAATTTAGGAAGTATGAATATGAGTTGTATAGTTCTCTTTCTGCATCTAGTGGGTTGTCTGGGTTATCTCTAAGTTTGATCACCTATGTTAATTCATGCTATTGTCATTTGGATTAAATTAGACACATAAGTATCAGATTAAGTTCTTTTTTTTTATTAAGTCATAAAAATATAGAACGCTTCACGAATCTGCATGTCATCCTTGCGCAGGGACCACGCTAATCTTCTCAGTATCATTCCAGTTTTAGTATACGTGCTGCCGAAGCGAGCACACAGATTAAGCTCTAGGCCTGATTTTCAACTCTTTTTATCTCATAGTACACTTGAAGCGAAAGCTAAACTTCCACAGCACACTTTTATTAATCAAAAAAAAAAAAAAATGAGTAAAAAAACCAATATACTTACTGTGCTTTGAATTCTTCACAATAATTTAGTTCATGATCTTTGAAGACCTTTGCAGCAGACCTGAGATCCCCTCATGGCACACCAGTTGAAAATCACTGCTCTAAATTTTAACAACTGTGGGTTCCCTCTTATTCTTTTCTCAGTATACCAGGGCTCACACGCTTCTTGACGGGTCATAGTGTTTAACAGGAGTGATGCTTTAAATTTGGCTCTTCATATCAAATAACAAAAGATTATTGGAACTATAATCTTGTATTGTACATATTCTTCATTAAAAAGCTACACCTCAGTTTCTATATCTATTAATTGGAGGTAATTATATCATTGCAGAAGATTAGGCTGATGCCATGAATACCGACTGATCTCAAATACAAAAAATTAGTAACAAGGAATTTGAAAGATAGTAGGTAGTCAATAAAAATTATAGCCCATCTCTCTTCCCCACAGAATGAATCAAACTGTAAACATCGCCATACTGCAATACTGTTCAAATGGTCAAACACATCTACATTTGAAAATCCAACACACTGAACAGTCACGGACTGCAGAATAATGTTCAGGTCAACAACAAGCTACAATGGAAGTTCTGTGTGATTATAATGGAGCTGAAAACTTCCAGTCATCTGGTGATATCCTGGCGATCCTGATCTTTCTTTCTTTAATAATAAAGTATCCTCAGCTACTTTACTATTAAAGAAAGAAACACATTTTAAAAATAAATATAGTGTAGCTACCTGTGCAGGGTTTATGAAGTCTACAGTAGCATATAACAATGTCCTAGGCCTTCATGTTCACTTACTCAAGTACCCAGAGCAACTTCCAGTCCTGCAACCTGCATTTGTAGTAAGTGTGCCACTTCTTATCTTTCATATTTTTACTGTGCCTTTTACGTGTTTAGATCAATAAATACCTATTATTGGGTTACAACTACTTATAGTATTCAACACAATGACATGCTGCCCAGGTGTGCAGCCTGGGAGCAAGAGGCTCCACCACCGGGGCTGTGCAGAGCACACTCCACCTGGGTGCACAGTGCTGAGACTGCCCAGGTGTGCAGCCCGGGAGCAAGAGGCTCCACCACCGGGGCTGTGCAGAGCACGCTCCACATGGGTGCACAGTGCTGAGACTGCCCGGGAGTGCACTTCTCAGAACAGATCCCATTATTAGTCGTCCATGAAGATGAGGACAGAACTAACAGAAATGTGCAAGGAGGCTCTAGAACTAACGTACCAGGGTTAAGAACTTGGCAGTCACACACCTGCACACTTAACTGTGTCGTCATAGGTAAGGGCCAGAAGCTCTTAGTTATTCAGTTTCCTCTTCCACAGAAATGCCATCTGTCATATAAGATTGTTGTCAGAAGTGACGTGTTTATACAGCCCCGTCTGCAGACCTCACAAAACTCAGACAAACAGTGCCGGGGCACAGTATGTGCTCAGGACATGCTGTGGGGCTGGGAGACCTGCTTTGCTAGGATACTACACTGCACATTGAAATATTTGTAGATATGTGTATTTTTTAAAAATACCCGAGGAGGACTTATTTGTAAAGAGTAGACGTCTTTGAGTTAGAATGTCTGACTTAAATCTCATCTTTGCATGTACTGTGTGATTTCTGGCCAAGTACTTAATTTTGTGCTCCTTTATCTATACAACAAGAACAGCACCACATACTTCACTAAGCTTCTGCACACTTCAACACCGTACTGTAGGTAAAGTCCTGCTTAGCATTTACAACGCGCCAGTCACTGCTAAATACGTTTTAGGAGTGAATCTGCTCCCGACACACTAAAGGACACAAACGCGATGCACAGGTGTCCACTGCACCTGCTGAGAGCCAAGGTGTGAAGGCCACCTGACTGTCACCAGTTATATGAGGAAATAACTTGGCATGAGGAAAAATGAAAACTTTTTCTATCCCTATCTACCTCAGTACTAGAGTTAACAAATTAGAGAATTTAAGTGTTCAAAGCTTAACTGACAAAAGCGTATTTCTGCTTTATCAAAATAATGATATAGCCCATATTTATTTACACTACGTCATTACTCTAAAACCAATGTATGTGTATGTTGTGTATGTCGTTGTCTTCCATTTAGAATTTAAAACATAAAATAAAGAGGTTTCCAGATATTGAGGAAAACATTTTGACAGAATAAACACCCATTTCATATGTCAATGAACATCAAGGTATTTTATCAGAAGCGGTAACTATAAGCTCTATTTTGCCTCTGGTAACATTTCTTTCTGGGTAAATAGTTCTTTGGAAAATAAACTGGAACGAACTCATCATTCACGAGTGAGAATTTCTGCTAAAACTTCCCACACTTTGTTTTCCAGGCACGGATAATGCAGAGTATTTACATATTTCCAATGTCACTTTTGGCCCTAAGACTGAATAGTCACACACTCTTGAGGCCACTGTCCCTCTTCAAAATATACTGAACACATAGATCAAATATTTATAGTACACAAAACTGTAGTTTTATTCCCAAGCCTGATGTCTGTAACATCACAGTAAGCCTGGGTGTGGTAATACATGCTACTTGGTGGAGCATACAGTTCTTCTCCAACTAAAACAAACAAAAAATGAAAACAGTTGGTAACCCAAATGACCCTCACTAGCTGATTATCATGCTTCACTAGACACAGGTGTGTCCAACCTATAGCCTGAGGGCCGCATGAGGATGATGTGCGGACTTTTTGCTTATCTGTGGTGGCAGGTATCGTGAAAATTATGCACAGACTTTTCTGTGTGTTTGGCAGCTATTGTTAGTGTTGTGTATTTAATGTATGGCTCAAGACAACTTTTCTTCCAATGTGGTACAGAGAGAGAAGCCAGAAGGTTGGACACCCCTGTGCCTACAGCATCTGAATGCGGAAGGGCGTCAGTATCTACTGCGGGGCTGGTAACAAAGACTCAATCTTACCTTTGGGCTGGGGTGCTATAGCTGTTATCATAGGAATCATAACTCTGTTCATCATAAGCAGTGCCATATCCATCATCATAGTCCTAAAATATACCAGAAGTAAAAAAAAAAAAAAAAAAAAAAAAAAAAAAATTCAGAGAAGTTTCTGGAAAGAAAGAGCATTTTCCTTTTAGTAAACTTTTATTAATTCAGCTAGCATTTAACTATATGTCTAATTATAGTGTAAAGAAAAATACTGGAGTGACTTTAGTGAAAATGATAAAGAACTTCAAATATTCTCCCTATAAAAGTAGAGAATTTGCAAAAATTGTCAGAATTAATATTTTCAGAACCCTGGAAATTAACTAAAGGATTGTAGAGCTCTAGGGAACATTATTTTTAATGGCTAAATCCTGGTAAGAAGATTGAACTTTGTGGTATCTTAATTTGTCCTATTCCTAAAACTTAACACATACAAAGGGCAAACTTTTCAAACACATAGGTTCAGCAGGGCCAACTGCAGACTTCAAAACAGGTGCATTTTGGTATGTGTAAGGGGTCCTAAAACTAATCTTCTGTGTATACGGTACAATACTGGACAGTCCAAGAACTAAATGATATCTTCTCCACAGGAACTCTGAAAACCAAGGAGGGTGGACAACATGGGAGGAGACAGAACATGTCCAGAGAGCTGTCTTTGACCTGACTACACAAAGGCAAAAAAGCCTTTTTCTTGGGGGTAGTTTAAGAAAATAATTTGTGGGAATTGTTTGAGATTTCAGCTGCCTGGTATGTTGGAAAAAACATGGGCAAACAATGGGCTTGTCAAAGAGCTTCAAAGGAAAAGGAAGAATCAGATGTCCATAAAGGTCTTGAAAAGCCTCAGAATATTCCTGGCAATTTAAAAGGCCTGAATAATGCTGCCCCCATGCCCAGGAAAAACCTGGGAAGCCTCTGAGGTCTCTCTTCTGGCTGACCTTACTGTGCGGCATAAGCAGGAAATGAAAGGCTAAGGCCAATTAGTTGTAAACTAAACTGGCTGAGTGTCGAAGATGAATCCCAAGGTGCAGCCAGATACCCTGGGCAGAGATTAGGAAGTTTATAGGCATTTACTGAACTCTCTGGCCAGTCATTAGTTGACCACTAAGGTAACACAGAGGAAGACTTCACTGGCAAAAGATAATAAATATAGATTTCCTAAAATTAATGTGGGAAATTCCCTAAACACATAACTGAAACAAATAAAAAATCTTGGAAAGATTTGACTTCCAGAGTTGAAACATTATATTAAATGCCCATTTAAAAAAATGAGACATGCAAAGAAATACAAAAGCATGATCCACATACAATAAAAAAAAAAAAAAAAAGCAGCTAAAATAAAACAGGAGGAAGTTGAGACACTGGAGTTACTAGACAAGGACTTTAAGTCAGTTGTTTTCAATACATTGAACCTTGAACAACACAGATTTGAACTATGTGGATCTGCTTATACTTAGATTTTTTTCAACCAAAATGCAAATCCAAACACAGCATCCCTGGGATGTAAAACTTACACACACAAAGGGCAAACTTCAAACACATAGGTTTAGCAGGGCCAACTGCAGCCTTGAAAACAGGTGCATTTTGGTATGTGTAAGGGGTCTTCAAACTAATCTTATGTGTACACTGTACAATACTGGACAGTCAAAGAACAAAGGACACCTCCTCTAAGCAACTAAAGAAAAGTCTAAGCACAGTGCCTCACCAAATAGAGACTATTAATATAGATACAGCAAACGTAAGAATCAAAATAAAAACTGCTGAGTTACAAAGTACAATGACTAAAATGAAAAAATCATTAAAGCAGGTTTTCAGCAGATATAACTAGGCTGAAGGAAAAAAATCAGAAACTTAATGATAGATGAACTACCATTATCCAGTCTGATAAAGAGAAAAGAAGATGGAGAAAACAGAGCACCGAGAGTTAGGAGACATGATCACACTACTGAATACACCGTCACACTACTGAATACACCGTCACACTACTGAATACACCATCACACTACTGAATACACCATCACACTACTGAATACGCCATCACACTAATGAATACGCCGTCACACTACTGAATACACCATCACACTATTGAATACACCGTCACACTACTGAATACACCGTCACACTACTGAATAC